CTGATGAAAAATATGGGCAATAAAATGAGTGTTTTTACCACCCCTTTAAGCTGAAGGAAAGAGGCCCCAGGAGACATGTGTCAACCAGAAAGAAAATCTGTAAATCTGTATTGGATGTTCATTGGGTTTAACAGAACTGAAAAGATGTCTGTAGACAAAATGATTTGCAGTATGATTGAACACATTCAAGAGGCAGCCTTTGGAAAAAAGCTGAAGGACCTGAATTGGTCCTAAATTGTATCCAAAATAGTAATATTAACCCAGTGATACTCAAGTGGTCAATATGAAAAGTGCTTAAAGTTTCAGTTCAGTTATGCTTCATAAATACCAATTAAGCACTGAGTAAGGCACTGTGGAAAATATGTGACTTTGCAGTAATATGACTGATTTAAAATTTTTTTTTTAAAGATTTATTTGTACATACACAACTGGGGTACAGGCCAGAGGCTCAGGGGCAGCGAGAGGCTTCACCAGAGACAGAGCGGGGAGCAGAACAGGCAGATATACGAAGTACACTGCTGAGGGGAGCAGCGGGCGGGCCAGGAGAGATCTGCCACACCATGTGGTCACTTCCAGGGCAGGCGGGAATCAAACTCATGCGGAAGTGGCTTTAGCTTCTCAGTGCAGTGCCTTAACCCGCTGCGCCACCAGGGAGGGCATGATTTTTAATTTTTGAGTCCTTCTAAAGGTTAAATACTTTTCCAGAGACATTGACAAAAATAAAAAATTTTCTAACTTTTATGTCTTCAATCTATAGTATATTACATACATAAAACCATATGTGTATATTAATAAATAAAGCTATATGTATTAATATGGTATTATATGTGTGTGCTTATACATTATACAAATTTAGCTTTGAGAATTAGCCAAAAGTTATTTGTTTGCAAGTCCTATGACTGAGGGAGGAGGTCAAATTAGGGGATATTCTGTTCACTGAACATGATGTGTAATATGGAATATTCAGCATGATTATTTAGGTAATGCTTATCAATTTCAAAGATGGAGTTTCACTGATATTGTGTGTAGTTGCAGCATCATTGCAGTAGATTTTTCACTTTTCAAAATGGCCTGGAAGGACAATGCTCATTTAGATTTAAGTTATAATGTTTTTATCAAAGTGCTGACTTCTGAGATAGTGATCTAAAAAAGACCAAATTTTACAAGTCTTTGGCTTTGTTAGGAAACTGACTGGAAGCCAGCATGGGAGAGGCAGGAGTCAGCCCCTAGGCTGACACAGGGCCAAGGGGATCATGCACTACAGTCAGGATCTGGGGTGGCTGACTGGGCTCCCTTTTTCAGCTTTATGCTTACCCTCAATATTATTGCTTGTCAAAATTAACTGTTTGCTTCCCCTCTTCCAGGTTTTACGTGCTATTTGCTTTATCCAGATTAATTGTGAGACAATGGTGTTGAATGCGTCTGTTAGCGTATGTGTTAGATTTCTCTTGGGTTCTTGTTATTGCAGGTCCTGGAAATGGGAAATAAAGAAGGAAAGCAGTTAGCTAAAATCATTCAAGTCACTCTTGAATAAGCTAATAGGAACTAGGACTGATAGGAACTAATTCTGAAGAATAGATGACATTAACTTCATATTTATATAATGGTTATACAGCTATGACTAATATATGGTAGCATTGTCTCCTGAATTAGAATATAAAAAACTCAAGCAAGGGCTAATGCTTTGAGTCCTTTGTGTTCCTCACAGCAGAGTGCTATGCAAGACTACTCATCAAGCTCATCTGGATAGTACCTCTTCTCTGACTTCCTATGACCCTTTCCAGCTACAATTGTTACTTCCTGATATCTGTACCATGAGCCTTTAAACATACCTTGTCTTAGTTACTTGGGCTGTCATGGCATAGTACCATAGATGGGGTGGCTTAAACAATAGAAATTAATTTTCTCAAAATTCTGTAGGCTGGGAAGTCCAAGATCAAGATGTTGGCTGATTCAGTTGCAGATGGGGACTGTCTTCTGGCTTATAGACAGCTACTTTCTCACTTGTCCTGGGAGAGATGGGGTGGTGGTGGGGAGGTGGTGGAGAAGACAGAGGGAAGGCAGGAGAGAGACTGAGCTCTTTCTTGTGGCCTTTAATAAGAACACAAATCCTAATGGGTCAGTCTTCCACCCCATAACCTCATTTAACCTTTTACTTTCTTATTCCAAATAGTTACACTGTGGGTAGTGGGGAGAGGCTTGGTTAAGGCTTCTGCACTTGAAATTTGAGTCCATAGCACCGTTGGAACACTTATTATATTGTGTTGTAATAATTTCTTTATCTTTTTTCCTGGTGGACTTTGGTTTCCTTAAATTAGCCTTTGTTAGGCATTGAGAATTACAAAGATAGATCTTGCCTCTAAGAGCTTATCATTAGCTGTATTTGTTTTCTAGGGCCACTGTAAGGAATTACCACAAATGCCATTTTTTTTTAAAGATTTATTTATTTGTACATACAGAACTGGGGTACAGGCCAGAGGCTCAGGGGCGGCGAGAGGCTTCACCAGAGATAGAGTGGGGAGCAGAACAGGCAGAGCGACGAAGTACACTGCTGAGGGGAGCAGCAGGTGGGTCAGGAGAGGTCTGCTGCGCCATGTGGTCACCTCCGGGGCAGGCGGGAACCGAACTCATACAGAAGTGGCTTTAGCTCCTCAGTGCTGTGCTTTAACCCGCTGCGCCACCAGGGAGGGCCACAAACGCCATTTTTTTTAAAACGACACAAATGTATTACCTTATAGTTCTGTACAGCTCACAGGTTAAAATCAAAGTCTCCATGGGTACTTTTGGAGCATCTGTTTCCTTGCCTCTTCCAGCTTCTAGAGACGTCCTGCATTTCTTGGCTTCAAAGCCAGCAGAATTGCACTCCTGTGACCACTTTTCTATATGTGTTGCTCTGACACAGTCGGAAAAGGATTTCTGTTCTTCAGGTTAATCCAGATAATCCAGCATAATCTCCCACTCCAAAACCCTTAATGTAATTATATCTGCAAAATCTCAATTTTCATGTCGTGTAATGTATTTACAGATTCTGAGGATGAGAATGTAGACATCTTTGGGGAGGGCATTATTCTACCTACCACATTGTGGGAGAGAAAATGCCATGTGTCAAGTGCAACAATGAACAACTATTCCAGGCACATAAATATGGGAAGCATAGAAAGTGCATGTATGTATGACAAACGGAGCTGGAAGTGAAGCACGGGCAGCAAAGATGAAGGGATGGGTTCCAGGGGCATAATTTGGGAGCCAACTTGATGTGGGGGATAAGGGAGATACAGAGAGAAAGTAAGATAAAATGGTTTCCATTCCCAATCCAGAATCCCTATCTACTAGGATTTTTTGTTTGCAAGTAAAAGAAACACACATTGAATTAGGTTAGGCATAGGAGGGAATCTATTATAAGTTTATGAGGAGAGACTGTCTCATAGCAAGATTGTAACTGTTCATCAGAAATGAACTTAAATGAGGACACGAGTATTATTAAGACTTCTATCCTTTTCCTCTGTTTCTCTTTCTGTGTTGTTTCTTTTGCATCTGTTTTCTGTTGGTGAAAAAGTTAATAATCATCCGTTCCCAATTTTATACCTCTCTATACTTGGGCACCTAAACAATGACTGATGTCTCTCTCAATTCCACATTCCTGGGCAAGGGTCTTCATCAGTAGAGGTTGGGTCAGGTGTCATCCTGGTTCCCAAGGCTGTGCCTAGCTCTATTAGTGCTCCTTCATGTCCTCTGTCTTCATGACTGCTCAGGCTGTGCCCATGTGGTGGATGGAGGGGGGATTCTTAGAAAAGACATGTTGGGCATGAACTATTTAGTTTGATGAATTTGGACAGATGGATGCTGCTATCCAAATCAAGACAAAGAATATTTCTATCTCTTCACAAAGATCTCTTCGCCTCATAAATCATTTCTCATCTCTCAAAGACAACCACTGCTCTTTAGGATTAGAGAGAAACTTAAGTGTTAAATACTAAGATTAGAAAAGGTGAGTTCAGTTTTGAGTAAATTGAGTCAATTTGACCTGAATTGTGGGACATTTCAGATAGTGAGGTTCAGGTTCAATTGGAGTACAATGTCAGGTACAGGAAGAAGAGAGTGGCTAGCAATTTAGATTTCTGTAGCTGCTAGCCATGTGGAGCTAAAGTCACTGGACGTCCTCAGACAGAAAGTAAACCACAAGACAAGAAAACGTTCATGAGTTGAAACCCTTGGAGTATAAGTATTTGAAAAGAGGAATCTGCTAATGAGTCTGAGAAACAAGGCCATTTATCTTTGTGTCTCTATCACCAGGCATGAGACCCGACAGTCACTTCTCAATTTGCTAAATTTAACAGAATGAATGCAGAATGCATGGTGATTGATAAGTCCTATAGAGGGAATAGACTGGGGGAAGAAATGGCAAGAAGGGTCCCAGTGGATTGAAGAGGGGAAGTGGAGTGGTGTAGCTAACAGCCGCTGACTCCGCCTTTGCAGGGTGTGACTGGAGGGCAAAGTTATTAAAGGTGAATAATTAGGTAGAGTCAAACTGTGTATGCAGAGTCTGAAGAAATGAGTGAGAAATTTGGATTTCATCAGGTCAGCCACACTGAGAGAAGGCGGGTTCTGGTCTACGGCGTGACCCTTTGGGCAAGGGTCCTCTGGAGGCGCACTAGCAATGGTGGTGGAGGGGCTGCGTCCGCCACTGCAGCTGGTGCCACCCTATTACCAGTGGTAGTGCTTTCTCCTGCACTTTGGTTTCACAGCTACTGAAACGGATCATTGCCACTGGCTGCTGCTGATTTCTGCTATTCCCTGACCATGTGCTGCCTATAAGTTTGACTCTAAGCCTTGGAGCAGGAGACAGAGGCCGGTGGCATCTGACCGCAGCTGGGAGGCAGTGCGTGCGCGCGGGCTAGGGAAGGTCTGGTTGGGAGCTCTGGGGCGGAGCCGCGGCCGGGCGGGGCAAGGACCAGGCGATAGCGAAGCCAGGCCACGCCTCCGCCGGCTCGCGCAGGCGCGCTGCGGGCTGCAAGCTGTCAGAACCCATCGGCTGGCGGGCGGCGGGATTCGACGTCGGTGCTGGACCTGGCTGACTGAACATAGAGCCGCGGCGGTGACTGAACCAAGCGCGGCCCGCGTTCCCGGTCAGGTCGCACAGGCGAGCAGCGACTAGCGGCCGGCCGCAAGGACAGGATGGGGAACAGGGAGATGGAGGAGCTGATACCCCTGGTGAACCGTCTGCAGGACGCCTTCTCGGCGCTGGGACAGAGCTGTTTGCTGGAGCTGCCGCAAATCGCGGTGGTGGGTGGTCAGAGCGCCGGCAAAAGCTCTGTGCTCGAGAACTTCGTGGGCAGGTGAGCGTGCAGGGCGCTGGGGGCGGGGGGCGACCCGCTCCGGGCCGTTGGAACGTGGGCTGGCGGTCCGAACCTGAGGGAGGGCCAGGGCAGAGCAGCGGGGTCCGTGGGGGCGGGCGGGGTGCTCCAGCTCTGGGCATCCTCCATCCCGCCCCCCCCCCCACAACCCCCAGCGTGGTGGCTCTCCTGTCAGCCTTTCATCCTGCCATACAAAGCCATTTCCTCCCAGTCCTCCGGTCGGGGACTTGGGGGAGGGGTCCGCCAGGGGATCAACTTCCCCCACCCGGTGAGCGCCAGAACTGGGGAGCCTGGTTGCTTGGCGCTCCCGGGTGCTTCCTTGTCCCGCGCTCCGCTTTCCCGGCTCTTACTCGCGGTCCTTTCCTGGCAGCCCTCCGGGGCTCTCTGAGAGTCTTTGGGTGCCCCCCCCCCCCCGTCTCCGCCTTCCCTCGGGTTGAGATGCTTTCCTTCTCCCCTGAGTTCTCGACTCCTCTCAGCTGTCTACTGCAGTTCGAGGCAGTCGTCGCCTGCCCCTGGCTGGGGAGGCGGGGTGCCAGGAGAAAGAAATCGTTTGTTGTGGCGAAGCTTTATCCAGTGACGCTTCCCCACCATTCTCCTCCCTGGGAGCCCAAGAATAAAAGGTGGTGTGTTCGCGTGTCCACCTATTCTCATCTTCATGCAGATGTCTGATAAACCGAGGCACAAACTAGAGGGAGGGTGGACGGTGCTTGTGTTGTTCAGGTGCCTTGTCATTCCCGCATCATCTCGGAATTGACCAGCATCTTTCTCGCACTCTCTCTGTGCCCCCTCCCCCAGCATCATTTTCCATTCCCTAAGCTCTTGTTTGTCCTGCCAGTCAAGATCACATACTGAATCTAAATTACACTTACAGGTTTCTTTGATGACTCTTAATGCAGAATAAGCTAAAGAACTAAATTTTGAATTAGGAATCAGCATTCTTCTAATTCTTTTTTTTTTTTAACCGAACAGTTCTGGAGGGATTAAGTTACCTTAATGGCCTTACCGGGGCGAGTGCAGACATTTGCTAAGACAAACCCATTTGGAAGCATGAAAGCGGAAATCTGTTCCTAGTAGTAAACCAGATAGAAATGTACAGCAGCAGGGAGAGTGGGCCAGAGGAGGGACAAGTCAAAAAGTACTTTACTTTTTTGGGCTGGTTTGTAATTTGGGATTCAGACGGTTCCTGTTCCTGTTCCTTTTTCTGTTTTGTTGTTGCTGTTGTTAGTGTTTGGTGATGTGTGAAATTTAGATAGCCTCAGATCTCATTTAGTTATGTGAATATTCATAAAATGCATATTCCTTTCTCTCAGCTAATGCTCTGTTTCTTTTCCTTGTAAGAGCTAGCAAGCTAAAAACCTACTTACAAAGTGAATTTTGGCCCAGATCTTTGAGTAAGCCACTTAGTCACTGTGCCTTGGTTTTATCATTTATTTTGAGTAATGAGAAAAGTGATGGTAAAGCATTTTGTTTATGTCATTATAGACATGCTGAAGTGACGGATGAATTTATGATTTCACACACAGCTGTCATGTACTTAAGGGCTTTATCTTCTTTGATTTATTGTTCGCGAAATTCATTGAATTTGAAGTGGTCTCTATAGGAAAGTGAAGTTTGATGACAGTGTATTTCTGGGTTTTAAAATTCCAGACTAGTTAGCATAATACCTTAATCATTTATCAGCTTTTCTTTTTAAAGCAACAGTTAAGTATTAAAATTGTAAGTACTTTCCAGTGCAGTTACCATATTTCTATGCATCTTTCATGTATTTAGTTGGGTGAGCTTATATCATAAGTACATTGTTTATAAGTGCTTTTGAACCTAAAGTCAGTTTTGTGCATATGCCTGAATTCTACTCTTCAGATTTTAATCTTAACACTTATGTTGCTATAATAAAATTGTACATATTCTCCTTCACTAGCCATATTCTTTTGAAATGAAAGTGAAAAATATATATTAAAGACTAAGATATTTTAGCTTAAATAATTATGGTAGAATTAAAAATAGGAATGTTATAAATGTTATACAAATGAGAGAATTTACCAGAATACACTATATTTGGTTGTACTTTTAAAAGTGTTACCAGTAATTAATTGCAGCTAGGATGTCAAATCAAAGAGAAGAGTGAACATAAAGAGGAAAAATTCATTAAATAAATATATAAAACCTTTATTTTCTGTAGAGATGATGCTTGCCTAGCAGAACTTATATTAGAAGAAAATTTAATTAAAAAGGTCATTTGACTTTAATAAAGGTTTTTGTCATTGAATTATTGAAAATCTAATTTCTAATTATAAACCAACCTGAGGGAAAAAGGACTTCTCTACTTTGATAAGAAATTCATTCTAGGTGGAAAAAAATGTACTCATATTCCAATATAACCTTTTATCTATTTCTTTTCATAACCCAGAAGTTTACAATAAAGATCCTATTTTAAATTTTTCCTTATTTTTTGTATTTATTTTTGAAAGACCTTTTTTTTTAAAATGAAACTTTCCCTTTTTTACATGTAGCTGTTTTCATTTAAGACCTATGCACAGTTATGAATGCAGTCATAAACCAAGGGAGTCATTGCTGTGCAAATTAAGTGCTCTTTTCAAAATAATAATGCATTTCCTCCCAATGTTTAGGGACCCATGTTTAGTGTATCAGCTATATCTCCTTAGATAGTTTATATTGATTTTCTTTGTGACACCACTAAATGGATTTGGATGTGAATATATTTACTGCATTTAACAGAGTTGTAAAAACCAATTTTTGGTGGCAGTTTGAGATTGCTATGCATAAAATGAGTCATGAATGAACTACTTGTTTGTGATTTTTTTTTAACTGAAGTGAAGAATTTACATATTAATGTGATATAGTATGAGTAACCAGATTGTTCTTTTGGTGGCTAGGGAGATATATGTTGGCACTGAGAGGCTGCTTAAGGTCTGATGAATAGATACTAAGACTTGGCCTGAATGTAGGTGTTCACTAGCTGACTTGGGATCTGTCCATTGTTTTCATTTTTGTTTAGAATAATTGAATTATTCAACTCCTTAATATTCATTTTTAAAATAGTGCAATGATGAATATGATAATAATGGTTAATATTTATTGAGTGGTTGATACATATCAGGTACTATTCTAGGTGCTTTTACATGGATGACCTCATTCAATCCTCATAAAATCCCAAAGAGGAAGGCACTTTTTTTTTTTTTAAGATTTTTTATTTATTCATACAGAATTGGGGTACAGGCCAGAGATGTGGATTGTGAGAGGATTCACCAGAGACAGAGAGGGGAGCAGAACAGGCAGATCGATGAAGTATACTGCTGAGGGGAGCAGCGGGTGGGTCAGTAGAAGTCTGCCGCGCCATGTGGTCACCTCCAGAGCAGGCGGGATTCGAACTCATGCGGAAGTGGCTTTAGCTTCTCAGTGCTGTGCTTTAACCCGCTCCACCACCAGGGAGGGCCCAGGAAGGCACTTTTATGAGTTTTATTCTATAGAAGAAGTTATTAAGATTTGGAGACTTTGATTAACTTGCTGAACACTAATTGAATTTAGCATATGAACAGTAGGGATAGGATGTAACTTGAAGTATCGGGGTCCTATAATCTGTGCTTTGAAACTTCTGTACTCTATTTTGCCCTCTATATGTACCAATTCTGCTGATGAATAACTTTAACCTCTTTCTTTGATCCCACTTAAAAGCACCACCTATATAAATAAGTTGCTGTCTTAATATTTATTCATTTTTTATTTATATGTTTACCTTTCCTCATTTTGCAGAGGAAGAAGCAACATTAAAAAGATAAATCTTCTTTTCTATATTAGGCATTCGTGAAAGGAACTCTAGATTGTAATTGGATTGTTTATTTAAGTATGTGTTTAGAGTGCATATAACTTGTTTATAGTGGTGTTAAGTGAAAATTGTGCTAGTTGCTAATGTGCACATGTTTTTTTAATGCTATACTTCTTGGAAACATTAGTGCTTCAATGCTAATTATACAGCCAAAGAATTCCACATTAGTTTTTCTAGCTTGAGTGGTAAATACTCAACTTTGCACAAATAGCATCCATGATTCTCCAAGTGCTACTTCTCAGATAACTATCGTATGATTTTGTGATTAATGGGGGGACAATGAGAGATTTTTAAAAGGTGACTATGCTGAAAGGAGCTTTATTTCAATATGGAAATATTTAAAGTTTGTGTATTTAGTTGTGAGGTTTCTAAAAATGGATATGTTGATTGTCAAAGTTGTTTTGCAGAAGAATATTAAAAGTGAGTTGTTTGATGTTGTTGACATGACCAGATAACCTTTTTTTAAAAAAAAATATTTATTTATGCATACAGAACTGGGGTACAGGCCACAGGTGCGGGGGTGGTGAGAGGCTTCACCAGAGACAAAGTGGGGAGCAGAACAGGCTGACTGAGGAAGAACACTGCTGAGGGGAGCAGTGGGCGCTTCAGGAGAGGTCAGGAGAGGTCTGCTGTGCCATGTGGTCACCTCTGGGGCAGGGGGACAGGCAGGGATCGAACTCATGTGGAAGTGGTGTAAGCTTCTCAGTGCTGTGCTTTAACCTGCTGCGCCACCAGGGAGGGCCCAGATAACCTTTTTTTTAATAGTTTATTTTTACATCATTTTGTGTATTTTTCCATATCAGTTGTAATCCCGTGGGCTTCCCATCACCAAACCACCCATGTGCTATCACCATAGTACAGTGCATTTCCCTCCCTCCACTGTTTTTGATCCCATTCATTCCCCACTCCACCTGCATAAAATGTCTCTGGTATATAATGACCAGATAATCTTTAAAAAACCCAAAAGACACTTATATAACTTAGTTATACACTGATATTTTCTTAAATCCTTTGACTGATTTCAGGAGTGTATTTAAAAATTGAAGTGGTAAGAGTCAATTGTAAATGAGATTAGTGAAACTAATATTATCATAAGATCATGTTAGTGAAAGTTTTTAGTTCAAAAATAGGTTTGTAT